TGCCAGAAAAGTTAGCATTCCTTTCGCATCCGCACGTGCCAGGCACATACTCACGTTCTTCAGTGTTGAGTGTGGCACCATGTGCAGCTGTCAGTCCCACAGCACCTCCAGGGTGTTTCTGTCTTAAGATGTATTAACTCAAATGTATAAAATCCAGCAGGCTAATATTATTTATGCATACCAACATTCAAAAGGAAAAAAAGATTCATTTTGATCAGATTGTCTTAAATATAAGACCTTTAATTCCAAAGGTTTCTGGAAGAAATAAATGTTCTATAGAATTTATAATTCTAGTTTTCCAGAAATATATTTGGTAAGTGAAACTATAAAGGTGACTGCTGCCCAGAAAACCTAGAATTCTAAAGAAAATTGGGTCCTAAAAGATAAAGGACAGCTGGGCACAGTGGAGCATGCCTGCAATCCCATCGTCAGGGGAGGCTGAGGCAGGAGGATCCCAAGTTCAAAGCCAGCCTTAGCAAAAGTGAGGTGCTAAGCAATTCAGTAAGACCCTGTCTTTAAATAAAATACAAAATAGGTTTAGGGATGTGGCTCAGTGATTGAGTGCCCCTGAGTTCAATCCCCAATACCATAGTAATAATAATAATAATAATAATAATAATAATAATAATAATAATAATAAGATAAAGGGCAAATGAACTACTGTTCTACTCTGCCAGCTTTCGCTATAAAGCTACCCTGTCTAATTGACAAGCCAGATAATTGTAGGGAGTAAATAAAAAGAAAAAAAAATTAAGTTTCATTTGGTTTGAAAAAGAACTTTAACATGCTTGGTCTAAATTTATTCTAAGAAATTCAACAGTGTATGCATTTCTTCTAGTACTTTATGTTTCTTTAGTTAGGAATCCCTTAACACAAAAATAAAAACATTGGAAAAATGAAAAGATGCCTACCTTAGATTGGAAAGTTGTTTTTGCTAAATGGACTTTGACTACTTTGAAGAAGCTAAGAAGAGTATTTTTCTTAGCTAGTAATTTTTTCTATCATGAATCACTTTATAATTTTTTAAAAAATTGTATAAATTATACATAATGGTGACATGATCTCTCCATAAAAAAAAAAAAAAAAGCTTAATGACAAAAATGAGAACTTGCTGACAAGTTCCAATAAGTCCAGGCTAACCAAGCAAAAAAGCTTTACAACAAAACTAAAGTCAAATGGACACCCTTTTATTCCTTACTCCCTCTTTCCTACAATGATGTAGATCACTTGATTTGCTCCTAGTTACTTGGGGGGAAAATATTAGAAACTTTTTTTTTTAGTAATAACCAATATACACCCTGGGAGTATAGACCTACTTGAACGCCTGACATGAAATCATCTTCTTTGTTGCAAAATAATCTTGAAATGTTTGTAAGAATCCCACAGCATGTTGTGACGTTGTTCTTACTCAAAGATTTTGTGTGTATGTTGTAGGATGAAGCAGATGAATAATTACATTGGTGTTGCTTGGACCTTTGATTGTTGGCATGGTGGAAAGACACATGAATAAAAACCTAGTGGCCCACAATCTGAATAAAAAGTTTCAATTTGAACTCATAATTATTTTACATGTAAATAATGTACAAGTCATATGTTGTTTATATTCCAGCTTCATCCACTGTAAGGACTATGAAACTAATACCAATTCAGTAACAATGGGCACCAAAAGTGCCAAAGTAATGCTTTTTTAATGACTGAAAGAAACTGGTATCCTTTGGAAAAAAGTCTCAATGCAGGTGTACTTCAGGTTATATTCAAGAAGAGCAGAAACATCTTACAACACCAGGAAGCAGAGATCTAACATTACTAAGGAACACTGAAAAGATTCACAGCCAATTTGAAGAAGTTGCTATTGGTCAATGTAGGATAATTTTAGCATAAAGATATAATTTTAATGAACTGAAATGCTGAATTCAAATATGTTTAAGTCTGTTGATCAATATATAAATATTAACAATAACAAACTTATAGGTAGATTTGGGAAATGCTAGGAAACTAGTGCGTTAAAACCAGTAAATAAAGAGAAGAGACTGGTACTATCTTATGTCTCATGGTAACCAAATGGCAAATGAGGGCACATTTTCTTTATAAAGTATTTCAGATAATAAATGAAAAGTTATGATGAAATATCACCATTTTTGCCACCCTAATAAATTATTGGGTCTAGTTAATGATTGTTAATGACTTCTAACATGGTAAGAAAGTATTACTCCTGATAGAAATACCACTAATGGTCTTGGCAAGAAAACAAATCTGAATCCAATCAATCCCCAATGCAGAAATATTAATTCAAAAGAAATACCACAAGCTGCAATTAGCAAATTTAGATTGTAGAAGACATGAGACTAATGCCTAAAACAGTATGGAAAGAGGAACCATATAGGTTAAGAGAAATACAGGAAATGAATCAATCAATCACAATTTGTGAAACTTGTTCTAATCTTCATTCAAACTCACTGTTAAAAATTTATTAATGAGACAACTGGAGAAATTTTCAAACTGACTAAACAGATAATAATAGTAAGAAAATATTGTTGATTTTTTTGTAGGACAGTCACATTGAATTTTTTGATTAACATTTGCAGATATACACTAAGATATTAATAAATGAACTGATATGATATCTGAGATTTGCCTCAAAATGCTTGGGGAGGGAGAAAGTATATAAAGGATAGACGGAACATCATCAGGTATGAGTTGATAATTATCAAGCTGAGTAGTGGCTACACAGAGGTTTCCTGCACTCCTAGTCTCTCTGCTTTATAAGTTCAATATTTTCCTTCATTAAAAGTTTTTGTAGATATTGTTGGTTGAAATTTGTCAATGAATGTCAGAACACCATGGGTAATCCTTAGACAATATGTCTCTAGCATATTGATAGAATGTAGATTTAAATCAAAGTGGGGAGAGTAGTCTTTGAGAATATTTTGTTTAACCTTGTATTGTCTGACCAGATTCTACTCAAATCATCCATTCCACCCTTTGCTAAAACGCTCACATAGTTGACCTCTTCTGTCTGGTTGTAGTACCTGGCAGAGCAACCACATAGCAACGAACTCAGTGAAAAACAACAGCAAGAATGTATCATAAAATAGTTTTAGACTTTAAAAAATTTACTTTGGTAATTCTACCCATTGAAAAGTACCTGAAAATTACTTTTACCAAGCAAGTAAATTTGCCAAGTAATTTTCTCACTATAAAAACACTGTTCTCGTCATAGCCAGTAGAAAAACAATCTCCCAGTTCTGTTGTCTCCAGTTCTTATTGTATAATCCACACATCTGTGCAGTGTTGCTCACAGCAAAAACCAACGTGATACAAACACACAGAAACAAGCACCATACTAAGCTCTTCTCTGGTACCCCCAAAGGATTCTAGGCCTTGGAGTTATGACTGGGGGATACCCTGAGGACTAACTCTAATGAAAAACCAAATATATCTAATTAATTGCACTGCTCCAAGATAATCAGAGACCAGAGGTTTCCAAAACCTCATGAGAATGGTCATATTTATATAGAATGGTGCTAACAGGAGTGCAATTCTTTGAAGCACCAGACTCGTTCTTTTATCTCTCCTGCCTGTCTCTTTGGACAGCTTATGCTACGTGGATTCACACCTAACCTTTAGGATTGTTCTCGCCAATACTACCAGTAGAAGGGACCTGTATCATACATTTTTTTCTGTCTTACACTTCATATGAAATTGTGCATTTTAGTGCTTAGAAGCATAAAATGCTAAATTCAAATCAACCCACAATATCAACAGCAGAGTTAGTCTATCAAAGATTTTAAAATACTTATCATCATTGAAATTACATCCAGAGATACTGGGAACTTGCCATCCTCAAAACCATACTCCAGTATAGTTAATACTGTAGATTTGACAATACTGAATAAGGAAATATGCACATTTTGAGAAAAATCACAATGTTAATATTGGAATTATAGTTGGTGCTCAATTTATCCATTTCACAAATAAGAGAAATTCACATACTTTCAAACTTTAGCCACTGGTCTCAGTATTTTCCCTTAATAGTTCTTTATTAAAGTAAAACATAGGAACTAAGCTTTGATTGATTTGTAATTCATCTTCTCTCCCTTTTACTGATTATGTTTCTGAAAAGGAAGAAAAAAGTCATGCAACAAAGGGACTAAAAGGTGAGTAAAGAGGAAATAGGAGAAGTCAGGAGTGGAAGAAGAATGAGGTAAGTAGGACCCCCCCCAAAAAAAGGGAAAGGATGGTTTACAGCACGCTGCAGAAAAAAATGGAAGTAATAAAAAAAATGCAAATTGGTTTTAGGATAATTGAGTGAAGGATATTTATACCTCGTTTCTCTTCAGGAATCCAACTGCTAATGATTTTAAGTAATGCATAATTTCAATATGGTATTTTGCTTAACGTGCTAGATACCAAATATGGTATTCAAGATCAGAGAATTTATTTGCATGCAAGAAGCTTTGCAATTTTTTTTTTCCCCAGTGTTGGGAATCAAACCCAGGGCCTCATACCTACTGGGCAAACACTCTACTGCTGGGCTACATTCTCCAGCCCTTTGCAAACTTATTAGAGAATCAATAGCCTGTTCTTTTTATGATGTAGGTAAAAAAATTGCCACAATTTCCAGTGGCATTTAGGCCAATGCATAATCCTGAAATTTCTTAATATTTTTATGTTTTGAAACAGAAATGTGTAGACTTCCTCTTTCAGCTAAAATCCAATTTAATCAATAGCAAATGGAGCCACATTATAAAAAGATCTGAAGATAACTTGGAGAAGCATCCAGCGTTTCTAGGAGTATCAAGCCAATTAAAAATGGAGAGAACAGAAGGTAGTGTAGGTGGAATTAATGGGACCTGGCTGCTGGCTCATCAGGTAATCATAATAGTCAAAAACACGCAACGATCAGCTTAAAAAATAACTCTGTTCATTTGATAGCTGGCAAAAGGACTCAGCAAAGATTTAACATACAAGAAAATAAGGCTGCTTCAGAGGTGACTCACCTATCTTTCCCAGTTTCCTTCTTAAAAATTCCATCACAGTAGCTCATGCGCTTCTCGGTGGTCACATAAATTTGGGCATTTGGATAAACATCAACCGTCTTTTTCAGCATGTTGTAAACGATGCCATTGCCATCTTTCCTCATATTGCGGAAAGGGCCCCAAATAACATAAATAGTAGTGTTTGCTTCTTTAAAAAAATAATCAGGATTTTTTAGCAAAAGAGGAACACTGGTATGGGACACAACTCGAATCATTGTCATGCGGCCAACATCTTCTTCATAACCCTTAGTGGGGGCATTGTTCATTCTCCAAATGCAGGAAGATCGATCTATCTCGCTTCCCACCTTCTGTCCAACCATCTGACCTGAGTTTGACACTATGGCGCAAAGGTCACAGTCCAATTGCAAAGGCTGAAAAACAGAAAGAGAAAGAAAGCAGCTGGTAAATTCACCTAGTCAATATAGTATTTGGGAAGACAAAAAATTTCAGATGTGGCATAACTTCTGAACATGGAAATACTTCTGAAATATATAAACCAACCCTACAGTCTCTGCTATAGGTTATCAAGTAAGCAGAATACTTCCATTAAAAAAGAAAATGTATCCTCTTAAAATAATTTAAATTTTTGTATCCTTACATGTTGGTTTAAAATCATGTGGAAAAAATATTCATTTGTTTTCCACTCTAAATGATGAATTTTTAAATTTAGAACTGCAATTTCAAATGAAATAAGGAAATGTGGAAATTTTTGACTTCTGGAATAAGGTGGTTGGTGGCTATAAAAGAAATACAAACAAAACATATCTAGGTATCAAGTCTGCATTTTAGCTATATGTATGCATGGATAGGTAGCCATTGATAAAAATATGAAGAGTTCAGCAGATGATGAAGTTCTAAAGAAGATTTTCAGAACTACATTAAGATAAACCCCACACTGGCCAAAATACTGAGCAGACTCAAAAAAAAAAAAATTCCTTCAAGTCACCATGTTAATTGGCCTTTGTGCCTACATTTATTCTAGATGGACAGGGAAGGCCTATTTTAAAAACTCAGGGAAGACATGTACACAGAGGGTCTCTAGAGCCTGTTTAATTCCCTCACTTTTTATTTAACCATGGAGGTAACAGAGACTCAGCCAAGTGAAGCATCAGCTTTCAGAACATAGAAATGATAATGTTGCAGTGGCAGATTTAAATGCAGGTCTTCAAACTCTAAGCCCACTGCTCATTCCATCATCCTTTGCCTTAATTCCTCCTAAAACAGCTACATACATTACTTTTGCTGCTTCTGTCCCACATGAAAAAGTTACCCTATCTTCAACACTCATAAAGAAATGTTGATACACATCTTCCTCATCTCCCTTTGATGAGAGTCCACATTTTGATCCTGAATTTGATCCTGAGTTTTATTGTGCCTACTTGGAAACAGCTCTCTCACAAATAGAGGCCTTATTTTACTTGATGAATTATGTCTGTCTTCTAGATAAATTCTGTAAGAACAACATCTGTCTTCTTCATTTTAACCCCACTTCCCAGAAGACTCTGGAATATAGTATGTGCTTGACTGGTGAAGTTAAGAAATGAAAGAAATTGAGTTAAAATAATTTATTAGGAGCATTGAACTTAATACCAGCGAACAAATGGGCTTTTCCAATTAATTTAGACTTGTTGATTCAGACAAAACATATCAACACAGAGGGTCTTCAGGCTCACTCCAGATGTCATAACCCGGGTTGTTCAACAGAGAGGTAAGACCCTCAGCAAAGTCATCTGACAATCATGCAATCATGCTACAAATGCAACAAGTCACCTTTCCTAGCCATGGTAGGAACTTGTAGTAGTTAGTGGACACCTACTATGCATCAGGCATAGTTCAATTCCAAGAGTTAGAACTGAGCTAGGAAAATTATAAACAAAAATTCCTGACACAATAGAACTTACATTCAACTTGGGGGTGGGAACAATAAATAAATCAACATCCTCTTATATTCAAGAATGATCAGTTCTAAATGAAGAAAATTTAAACAAGAAAGGAAGTTAGCAAGTGTGTATGTGTGTATGTGTGTTTGTGTGTGTGTGTGTGTGACAGAGAGAGAGAGAGAGAGAGAGAGAGAGAGAGAGAGAGAGAATGATCAGAAAAAAAGCCTTACTGAGGAAAGACATGAATAAAGAGATGTGAATGCTTATGCAAGTACCTAGGTCAACCAGGAATAAGGACAAGGACTGTGACCTGGCAGAGCCAGAGAGGACAGTGAGTAGATCTTGGGGCCAAACATGGAAGAGAATCAGTTAGGACCTTTGACTTCCTGTGCAATGTGGTGGGGGTGGGGCAGGGGGGGGCTCTAAACAGAGTGACCAACCTGAGTTGTATTTAATCATTTTGGCTGATGTGTGGAAAACTGATGAAAAAGAGGCAAGGGTATGAGATGTGATGGTGGCTGGGAACATGGTGAGAGCAAAGGAGGTGGAGAGAGGCAGAATGCATTCTGAATGTACCATACCACCCACTGGACTGGCCCACAGACTGGATGTGTGAATGTAGGGTGTGAAAGAAAGAGAGGAGTCAAGAATGACTTCAGCAATTAGCCTAAGCAACTGGAGGCCTGGAGCCACCTTTCACTGAGAAGGAGAAAGGAACGCTTCAGGAAGAGGACCAGAGAGGAAAGTGAGGGCCTCCTCCCCAGCTGGGTAAGATCTGAGATACCTGCCAAAGAATTTTGCAAGCACTATCACAAAACTACTCACACTGCTTCCAAGAACTTTCCTGACCAGATTATTAAAGTAATATGGGCTCATTGTTAAAAACTTAAAAAATTAAAAAGGAATAGACAAAAGAATAAAAACTTTACAAATTTTTATCACTTGACAACCACTACATTTATGACTTATATTTACCTCTTTCTATATCTATTACCTTAGATAGGTTGAGAAATACCATTTATCCTATTTGTCAGCATTGATATTTCATTTAATTTTAAATAATTAGTTTTTCCCATGCCAGTAAGTAGTTCTAAGGGGTAATTTCAGTGCCAGATCATTATTCCCTTATCCATATGGTATATGGATATACCATAACATAGCTAGTTGCCTACCACTGGGTATTTAGCTATTATTTTATCCTACTATAAAAAATACTTGGATAAATATCCTTGTGCTTCCTTCTGTATTTTGGATGCTAACATGTTAATTTAGACTTATTTCTTTAATTTGATTTAATTGTGTTCCTATAAAATATACTAGACTGACAAAGACATCTGTTTGATTTGTCCAAACCAAGAATTAAAAAAAAAATGACTTGCAAAACCCACAAAGGTCTTTTTATAAGGTGTCTTAAAACTCTGCTGCAAAAGGGGCTGTCTGATGCCTCTGCTGCTGTCAGAATGCTGAACTAAGGGCAGCAGCTGACAATCCAAGGACCAGGTCAGAACTGTCAGTTCAAAGTGGGCGAGTATGTCAGGACTTGGAAATGGGGTTTTATAGGTTGGTGCCATATGAAGACTTCACTAGTGGCCAGATGGAGGCCCAAGAACATGCCTCTTAGGATCAGGCATTGATCTAGGACTTTCCTTCATCCACTTGGGAGCCTTCATTTGGGGGGGGGGGCAGCAAGGAAGAACACAATATTCTTCTGGCCAAGCAATTTGTGGCAGGGCCTGATACCCATCACATATAACCAAGTACCCCAAGCTCACTCAGAGTCATGCAAATCAATGTCTAATTTAAACTTTGTGTGTCATATGGCACCCTCCAACTTATCACCAAGATACATATGGTACGCGGAGGTTATGTTCCATTTACTGTTCCAACAAGTTGCTTCATTGTATAATAAAAACATGTTTGGAGTAGAGTCTCTACAAAATTTTAAAAAATCAAAAAGAAGAAAGAAAAAGGCTTGGATGTGTTTGATAAAATGCAGCAATTTGTGTTGGATTTCCCAGTCATTAGAGTGAATTAGCTGGTTCTGCTATAACAAGGCTTAATTTAACTAATAAGAATCAGCATACTGGTCTCACTTGACAATCGCAACCTCTGAAAGTGATCAATTAAGACATCACAATCTGTTCCATGACAACATATTGGGATACCACAGCTGTGCAGATTATGAGGTCAGCAGCTGACTAACAACTTGAGGGCAAATACTGGGAACAGTCTCTTGTTTATGTGATAAATATGTAATCAGGAAGAGCGCCATAAATGCAATGGCTTTGGGGGTTGATGATGATCTTTAAATTGTCCCCTTGTTTTTACTATTCACTAAGCCACATAGTCACATGGCTAGAGTCTTAAGAGGCTTTCTTAATACACATGTGTGTATTTGGTCATAGTCCTGCCTAGCCATCTGACTTCCTGCAGGAAGTACCAGGAGACATGGTTGAATATGACAACTGCTATATTTAGCACTTGGTTGCAGGAACCATTTGTAAAGTATGGTAGGAGTGCAGGGCCCCATGAATGAAACATTCCTAATCACAATCAGATGCTTCAGGCCATACAAAGAGCTGGCAAGGACCCCAGTGATTCGTTTATATGTTTGAAGGCACCTTCAAACTACAGTAACCCATCATAAAAAGAAAGAAATACCTAGGTATGAATGGATGGTTTGACCCCAGAGCTGCCTTATCTAGTTATCTCAGTTTCTTTTATTAGCTTTATTGTTTCATCTTTTTGATCTCAACTTTCTTTGTTGAAATGTACTGCTGTTTCTTGAACACATTGATATGATTTGATTTGGGGGCCTTATTTGAAAGTTTATTCCATATGGTTCCACTAGCTCAGTTCTGACTGCCTCAGTCTCTCTCTCTCTCTCTCTCTCTCTCTCTCTCTCTCTCTCTCTCTCTCTCTCCCTCTCTCCCTGCACCCCTCCTTTCCAGATTGAGGATGTGGATTTTCCGAGACCTTTAAGATTTATCTGGTTCCACTTTATCAAGCTCTACCTTAAGTTAAAATTCTCCTTTTCAACTGAATTGTTGCTATTCTTGTTTATTTTCATTAAAAAAAAAAAAAACTTGTCCTCTTTATCTTGTCTCTTGTATACTCAAAACATCATTCAAGATACTTTGGTAAGGCTTGGGCTGTGTCTATAAACCAAGAGCACCACAAATATTTAATGAATCCTGTCTGAGAAACTATATCCTTAGTTAAAAAAAAAGTCCAAATATTTCAACACTTCACTTTATTTGAGATATAGAAAACTTATTTTTTAAATGGAAATAGCATGATATTTGTTTCAGATATTTTCTTCCTTTGCCAAAGTATACTAACTCTATGCCAACATATTTGGTTATAAACACTCATATTGGGGAGAGTTAAAAGTTTGGTGACATCTATTGAATAATCAAATATTTTTTATCTAGATCCTATTGTGCACAAGGCTTTATAAAGGGTAAAATAGTTTTAAAATTCTAATGAAG